GGTCCCGCTTCTTCCACCAAGTATGCTGACATAACCATCATCGCCTCCTTCCTACTATCTTCCCTCATTCCCTTCTGACCCACTTACCAGTATAGATCCATCCTTACCTTTACGCGAAGTCGCTTGCCCGGTCTCGTGCTATCCCAAGCGATCCGATGCTTTCCCCCTTGATCCACTCCGTAAATGCAAATATACCAAAAACACTCCACCTCCGCCCCTTCACCATATCTCTTTTACGTATTCCGATTTAGATTCTCGGCTCACCACTCCGTTCGGACACTCGAACAGGCTGGGCTCGTAGATCAGATCCCCAAAGATACTGGCCGCTACAGCAATACGCAGGGCCGACCCAAAAAACAGACGCAAATATAAATGCAGCGAATTCCAGGATCAGCAAAATCGACGGTACCACCAAAATTAGTACGGGCCCACATTACACCCTGCTCCCGGTACTTTTTTTCCCCGTTCTTCACCCCCCTTAACTAATTTACACCGGCATAAAATTACACCTATCTCGGGTTCAAAATTCTGGCAAGTCCGGTGTACTCAGTAGGGAGATAAACCCCCCACGGACCACCGGACACTCTAGCGAACTTCGCTAGGGCCCCGAGAGAGACCTCCGGGGGGTACTCCCAGAGGTGAGCTTCCATCATGAGTGCAGCGATTGCAGCTTTCATTCCTTCTACCGAAGTTGATAATCTGTTCATCCGAATCAGCGCCGCATACAAAGTAGCTTTCTTCGAGGATTTCTTCGTGAACGAAGCAAAATCCTGCAAAGATTGCACCTTCAAAATTCCCTCTTCCGCAAGACTCTGCTGATTCCTGGTTCTGGGAAACACATTAATCACAACAGGATCCAATTCCACTGTGATGCGATTCCCCAGAAAATCACATGCATTGTTCCCCCATCCTTCCGAATTAGAGATAGATTCTTGTCATAACAGTGCTCAAATGCATCAAAAATCCTGCCCACCCTTCGGTACGTCTGATAATCGCCTCTTCTAAATCCAACTAGCATCAGCACGTCATCAATCATCCTCAACCCCCTCACTACGGTTTCTTTGACACAGTTGCTGTTCATAATGCTACTTTGGCCTTGGCGCACACCAAGCAGGCAAGTGCTGGGCTGGAATTCCTTCCCATAGGAATCCCAAACTCCTGCGATAGTATTTTCCTGGCGCACCTAACGAATGAATTTGACAATTTGAACGCAACTTCCTTCCTCACATCATCAAACGACAAGGAGACAAACCCTTCCTCCTTCTGTACCTTCTTCACCATTGCACAAAGTTTCCCCCTGACACTCACCTTCACTCCTCTCATACCTCTCTTCTCGCGATACGCTATCAACCATTCAACAGCTTCAAGCACGCTCGTATGTGACAAACGGGCGAACATATCTTTGATATCATAACTTCGGGCGATTACCCCATCCCCCCACTCTCCCATTTCCTTCTGAATCTCTACGCACCGCTTCCTCAAATCGTCCATGGAACGCAGATCGAAGTGATCATTCTTTTTAACACCAAAGAGCATGTACCGGATTGCGCGACCAATTCTGGCAGCAGCTCCTCTTGCGGGATCAAACGTGCATGGGGAGATAGGCCTCCACCTCCCCAAATCTTTGTCCTTGGGTAAGACGTAGGCCTGCCCTATCCTCCCTCCAGTCTTCCACCCTGCCACCTTTCCCAGCCCAGCTCTTACATAATCCTCCTTCATCCGGCCCATCACCTGGTCTTCCAGCAGGTTTACATGGCGAAAACTAGGATTCCAGTTGAACGTCTCCTTACATGCTCTGTGACATAACACTGGACACAGAATTAGAGTCGCCCCCGGGTTCCGATCGATCGCTACTGCCACCAGCATACTCAGCCCTTGAAAACAATCCGTCACTTCTTTCGAACTCATCGCCTGCGTCTTCGAGGAATCCCAACCTCCATAGCATTCTTCTATGTCCTCCCTCGCCATATGACTCCTTCTCCCTTTCACCCAGCCTTCAATTCCTTGTCTAATACAAGCCTCCAACTTTTTTGGAGAGATGGCACACCCCCAGGTCACGTTTTTTGAATTCCACATAAATACTGGCATACCCATCACTTCAGAGATCCGTACTTTGACGTGCCCCTCACTCCTCGGCAATTGCATATCCCGACACAAGCACACTACCTCCTTTTCTTCCGCGCACCTCCAATGGTTATGGATGATCATTCCCACACTCTTCCTCTTCTTCACCACCACCCTCACTCTTCTCGCAATGAACCGTGCTATATCAGGTTCCGGCATCGACTTGATGAGTAGATCAGCGGTCACACGTCTGACCACCCCCAGTTTCACCGCTGGCAAGAACGGGATCTTGACGCAGGGCCTCCTTCTCATCTCACAACCAAACTTCTGCCTCCCAACTTGATTAAGAATATTCTTAATTCGGTTCCTACTTCTCTTCTCCCCGAACAGCGATGCGGTTCGATATAGTGCCACCACCTCTCGGGAGTTCTTCTTATACAACTCACGTATCCTCCACGGCTGTCGGAGCACGTCCCTTAGCACGAACTTCCTGTGCTCGACAATCGAAGGAAGAATCTGAATCCTTCCTACCTGGTACGTCCCTCCTACCTCCATCAATCTTTGGCACTCCCTCAACGGCTTCGTGTCCCTGCCTACAATGAGTGTGGTTTCTCCTACCTTTCTCTGTACTACTTTCCAGTTATCAGTCCATATCGAACCGCCAGTGGAAGTAATCAACTGATCTCCCCCCTTCCTCTCCCTCATCTCTTTCAATAACTCGATGATCGATGCCCGATCGTTGAACTTAATAACCGTACCTCCCGAGGGAAATGATTGCCTCCTCCCTCTTTCCCGTTTTCCCCTTCTCTTCCTCGTCCGTTTCTCTTCCCTTCCCATCCCTTGAATATTCAACGCTGGAGCGAACCTCTTGATCAGACTCGCTTCTACCTTCAGCAGGTCCCTGCCACCCTCCACCAAGGGAATCGCCAGATACTTCTTCCACCCGAAAATCGTCAACCATGCTTGCAATTTTGGTGCGTTCCCTTGATCTCCCCGGCTGACCAGGTTGACATGATCCGACCATCTTGTAATCACTGCTCGTGTCGTGCATCCTATATAGAAATGACGACACCACGGGCTGACAAGGGCATAAACACCTGGCTTGCTCGTGGTGGCAACCTTACTGTTCCCACTTACTAACCCTACCCACTTCTTGGCCCAGGGACAATTCCCCCTAATCACGAGGAGAAGATTTAGTCAAAAAATACGGTCTTCTTCTTCCGCGCACAGTCTCCCTTTCCCTCCTCTCATGTGTTCGCCTCGGGTCATCATGACGGTTCGAAGTTGTTCCATACTTACCTTTTTTATTTCTCGAATAAGTCCGAAAATCCGTCCGTTCTCGGTAAATTCACCATAAGCCAATTTCGCTTTGCATTTCACCAGTTCACCGATCGCCGTATCTCTCTTCGACCATTCAATGCCTTCACGATTGCAAATCTTCCGGAGTTCCGGAACCTTCTTCTCCGACAAATGCCTGTGTAACTCAATCGCGAAATCGAGAATGCTCGGATCTCCCTCGCTTGTCTTGTTTTTCGGCGGAGGAGTTCGGTCCTCCTCATCATCCATTGTCACTGGGTCGTCGCGGATCCCTCTCTTCTCCACCTTGATCTTCGGCCACCTCCCTCCCTCCTCTTGTACCTTCCTTTTACCCTTCCTCTTCTCAATAGCATCAACAAGCTTCCCGGCCTCCTCCCTCACTTCTTCGCTATCATCCTCAGACTCCTGTAGATAGCTTGTAATCTCCCGAAGCATTCTCGCCTTCGTTCTTGGAGATTTTTTCTTCGTCCCGGAAGTCTCCTCCTGTGTCCTCGTTTTTTGTGTGTTGTGCAAGCAGTCTAACCAGCCGCGCTT